TTATTTTTTAATTTATTTATTTATTGATATTCATGATCTCCATGTTAGAGAACCTCATTTCTACCGGGACTCATAGCCGTCAAAAACAAAATAAAATTCTACGAGGGGTCCATGACTCATAGTAGCCGTAAAAAACAAACTCATTTCTACCGGACTCATAGCCATAAAAAAAAAAAATTTCCAGGGGTCCAGAACTCATAGTCGTCAAAAACAAAATAATGGATGTAAATTGGTGATCTATCTAAAAACGATTGAAACTAATAGTCCAAATATTATTTTAATATAGTTATTTTTTAATTTTTAAAATTTATTTATTTATTGATATTCATGATCTCCATGGTGGAGAAACTCATTTCTATCGGGACTCAGCCGTCAAAAACAAAATAAAATTCTACGAGGGGTCCAGGACTCATAGTAGCCGTCAAAAACAAACTCATTTCTACGGGACTCATAGCCGTCAAAAACAAAATAAATTTTCAGGGGTCGAAAACAAAATAAAATATCGGACTCATAGCCGTCAAAAACAAAATAAATTTTCAGGGGTCGAAAACAAAATAAAATATCTGCCTCCATGCAGGATCGAACTACAGACCTTCAGTTTACAAGACTGACGCTCTACCACTGAGCTATAGAGGCCATTGTTTGATTTTATTTTAAATTAAATTATCCTTAGCCATTATTATTCTCAGCCATTATTTATTTGTGCCTTTCACTTCCCTCCCGCCTTTTATCCCCTCAAAACTTTGGATTCCCCGCGTTTCATAATCACATTCAGGTACAGAAAAACCCACCCACAAAAACAAAATCTCTCCATCAAAACTGAACCTCCCATCAAATGAAGCTAAAAAAATGCAGTCATCACAAGATTGTGATAAAAGCAGTTTTGCGAAGACCATTTGTAGCATATGCTTCGAAGATCTCAAGCCTATCACAGAGGATCTCCGATGCATCTCAACATGCGGCCATGTCTTTCACGACCTCTGGTACTCCTTTCCCTCTCTGTTTCCTTTTGCTTCTTTTGTTTGGTTTTTGATGGATTGAGCTACTGAATGAAAATGGCTACTACTGTATTGGGTGTTATTTAACGAATTTTGTGTTTTTGGTTATTGGGTTTCTTCATGGATTGATTTTTTGTGGCAATGGTTGTTTATGAAATCTCAGAATCAGAAGCTTCTGCAATGTTGGGTTTTTAAGAATGGAGTTGTTGGGGGGAGAAGCTCGAAAAAAATGTTCAATATTGTCTCATGAGTTTATTTTTGTTTTCTTTTTTTTCTAGTTGGCTTTTCACTGGTCTGAATTAACAGGTGGAGAAGTGTGAAACAATGTTTTATTCTTTTTTGGGTGTTAGAAATTTAACTGAATTTCTTTCTTGTTGGGTTTCTACTGAATTTAGTTTGGGTGGAAAAGCCTGCAAAAGTGACTACTATTGTCTCAGAAATGTCAGGGTTTTTATGGATCAATTCACTGGGTGGAAAAGCCCTTAATTCATTACTTCATTTTGTTTGAAATTTTTGCTTTCATTTCTTATTGGGTTTTTAATAGCTTTAGGAAATGCATTGTCTCAGGAGTTTATTTTCGTTAATTTTTCGTTGTTGGATTTCACTAGCCTGAATTTCTTGGTGAAGTGTGCAGCGATGTTTTTCTTCTTTTTGTGTGTGTTAGAAATTTCATGAAATTTAATTCTCGTTGGGTTTCTAATGAATTGAGTTTGGGTAGAAAAGCCTGCAAAAGTGACTTCTTTGGTCTCAGAAATTTCAAGGTTTGTTTAGTTTCTTATTGGGTTTTTAATAGTTTAGCAAATGATGGGAAGAAGGGTAGAAATGAATCATTTTGTCTCAGAAATTTCTGAGTCTCATTCCTTGCTGGGATTCCAACAATTTTCAGTTAGAAAAAACATGCACAAGTGCTTCCTTTGTCTAAGAAATTTCCTCAATTTCTTTATTCTTAGGAATTTTGATGACATGCGTTTTTACCCAGAGAGCACGTAAAAATTGTTCCTTTTGTCTCAGAAATTTATTTATTTTGTTTGTTGGGATTTTAGTGACTTGAGTATTTTGTTGGACATAGCCTACAACAATGGTTTGAGTATTGCCCTGTTGGGAAGAAGAACAGTTGCCCTATATGCAAGCAACACTGTAGCCAGAAGAATGTTACCAGGCTTTTCTTTCAGTCAATATCTGAATGCATGCATCCTGATGCTTCAAAAAAATCATACCTTTCAGGTTCTGGTGAGGTCGATCATGCGAAGGCTGAGGTGAGCTGTGTGTTTTCAGTTGTCTTTCATTAAAAATGCTGTATCATTTTTGTTGGGATTTTCCCTGCTCTGTGTGTGTGTGTGTCTGAGAGAGAGAGAGAGAGAGAGAGAGAGAGAGAGAGTAGTTAGTTTGGTTTGGTGGTAGTCGTTCGTTACCTTTACCGTGTAGTCGTCTACGTTAGTTTAAGTTTAACGTACTAACTAGTAGGTAGTGTTAGGTTAGTTAAGGTTATTAGTGTAGT